ACTACTTTAAGCAGCTCAGAATCTTTGCTGCTGGCCAGCTTCAATAGAGCATCCGCATGGGAATTCTCTTGGCGAGGCACCTGATCAGCTTGAACCTCTCGAAGTTCGACAGGGAATTCATGACCAGCTTTAGATAGGCTGCCATGTGTTTGTCTCTGGCCACGAAGTTTCCATTGACTTGATTCACCACGAATTGTGTGTCACTGCTGATAACCCATTTTTTGTTATGATACTCAACAAATTAACACAAAATAGAAAGCGATGCAAGTACAAGATTTGTGATGTCTAGAAAACTTGGTCGCCTCTGGAATTCTCGAAGTAAACTAATCAAAATTCGAAACATAAATATAAAATCAGATAGAACCCTTCAAAACTTCTCTAAGGAAATAAAAAACACAAAATAGTGGCTATGAATGTCTATTGCAGTTTGTGAACAATTCGTTTTCTCGTTTCGATCTCTATTTGCGACTTATTGCTAATTCTCATATTCTTGAAATACTGAAATTGGTGTACACGTTGATTTGGTTATTACGAATGGTGACATGAATTGATGGGAAAAATGGTGACAAGAATTGAGGAAAGAGAGAGAGAGAGAGAGTCGACTGCTAAGGGTTTCATAGTATGCAGTTGAATTACATTAATTGCTTTTAAAGTGGGATTGTAATATATTTTAATTTAATTAAGTGGGTTCCTAATTAATTAACTTTGAATGATTTCAAATATATGGAAACTTAGTTTAATTTATACTAAGCACCCTCGAAGCCAATGTGGCAAGTAAGAGCCTACTTTAGGCACATGAAGGGATGATTAAACTACTCGGGTTTGGGAACCAATTGGTGGTGTTAGGTCTTTATGGCCTTCTTTGGCTCCTGGAAGGAGCTTGAAGTCACTAGATGAGCATTGTTTGTTTCAAGGATACAAAAAGGATATAATAACACTTCTAGACCAATTGAGTTATCGAGGGAAGCACTCCAAAGGCAACTCGTGTACACTAGCTATTAATGGTTCTAGCCTTGCCGCAAAAGTTTGTAGGCTAGACATGCGATCATGGGACGATGTCTCAAAATTTGTGTAAATGAGGCAATGTGCTAATATCGTGGGAATTGATAGCCCAAGAATAATTAACCAAGAGAGGGTGAGTTGGATTTTAAAAAAATTTCAAAAAATAAATCTAAAATCAAGTAGGTAATAACTATATAAATTAATTAAAATAATAAGCACGCATATGACAGCAATAAGCAAAGAGAGATAGATTATGCAAACGATATCATTATGGAGGCTTGATCCAACCCAATGATCTACGTCCTCCATTACCAACCTCTCCGTCATGAGCAAGGCCAATTTCACTATGTTGATTGACCTGTGGTGCAATCCAAACCTTTACAATGCTTTCGGTAACTTACAAATAAGGAATACCAATCCTTATACAACGTTGAGCTTTACGAGATCTCAACATGACCCACAAGTTTTAAAGAAAGTTGGTTTAAAAATGAAACTTCTCTCTTAATAAATGATATGATTACAATTAAGTACCAAGAGAGAAATATGCTAACACTTTAATAGATAGCAATGAATGAATCTTGAGTGCTAGGTATAAAAAAACTTTGATGTGTAGAATAATTTTCAAAAGTTGATTTGATCAAACGTTTTTCAAAATTAAAATGATTTGATAATAATAAATGTTCTATTTATTAAAAGTGGCTATGAAACGGAGGACTAACAAAATTTCTTGTTCCACTAACAGAATTTCTTGTTCTACTGTTAAATTTAACTAATTCCATGAAGTAGCAATTAATCCACCCTGTGTCCATTTATCTTCTGCTTGCTGGAGTTACGTTATATAAAACTTTTGAAAAACAAGAAACTTCTTCCACACCAGTAAAGCCACTTCCTCCATAGATTCCAATCTACAAACCACCAGTAAAGAAACTTCCGCCACCGGTCCCAACATTAAAGATGAGTAAAGGTGAAGACAATGACTTGTGGGGTTAAACAGCCGACCCTGCTCCAAAACCTTGAAACTTAAAAACAAGCATAGTTCACAACAATTATCCGTCGAAAGTTCAGCTGCCGCCGGGTTGGCAATGGCAGGTGCGCAGCAGTTGCAGTTACAGACGGAAGCCGGAAGGAGAGAAGATATGAAGAAAAGTTCCAATTTTTTTTTCCCTTTGGGTTGATGATGACCGGATCCAGCTAGGGCTCTTTTTGTTTAAAAATATTAGGCCCAAAATCAACAACAAATGGAAATGGTCCAAAGACTCCAAACTCCAAATCCAATATCCAACGTCAGTTTTGATACCAGCAAAGACTGACTTACTGAGTCAAAGTGCAAACCCTTACCCTTCCATTTCCATTCAGCTGCGCATGCGAAGGAAAATAGGAATTTCAGGTAAAAAACCTGCCGTGTATGGTTCTAGACATCTGTTTTAATTAGTTAAGTGTTGTTTTAACTGGTGTTTGTTAGATCTAGATGGGTATGAGCTTTACAATATTACTTTTAGCTGAATTTGTTTTGTTTGTAGTTTTTGATAGTTTTATTTGACAATTATTACATTTTAGATTTATTTATTTTTTTATTGAATTTATGAACGAAGGTTTTGAAGCTATTTTAACTTTTCCTTTCTATAGCCAAAGTTACAAACTTCCGATGTGGGAATTGGTGGATTTTGCCTCTTTACGGTAAGGGCTTAGGACCTCCAATTCTGAAGGGTTCCCAACAATAAAGGGTTGAATTTGAGGAAACACGTGAAAATTACGTTGAGACCTTTCATTTCTATGAAGCAGAAGGAAACTCATAGCATTCAAGCAGCCATTCATTTCAAGCATGGGAAGTGAAGGAATTAGCAGTTCGAGAAAACTCAGATTCTTGTGCCTTCACGGATTTCGAACCAGCGCCGAGATTTTCAATAAACAAGTCACTGGAAAGTGGCCGGAATCTGTCCTCGACAAATCGGATCTGGTTTTTGTCAACATTCCTTTTCCATGTTGAGGCAAATCAAATGTCAAAGGAATTTTTGATTCTCCGTATTACGAGTGGTTCCAGTTCAATAAGGTTTATTTCTTTTTATATTTTGGCATTAATCTTAATAAACTTTGTTTAATTCAATTCTAAATTTTTTCAGAAATTTAACGAGTACGAGAAATTTGATGAATGTCTTGCTTATATTGAAGATTGCATGATAAAACATGGTCCATTCTATGGCCTTCTTGGCTTTTCTCAGGTGCATTTAACATACTTTTTCATTTATGTAAATTGTGAGTTACATCAACAAATTTAGTGTTGATTTTGAACAAATCAGGGTGCAATTTTATCGGCTGCATTGCCCGGATTGCAAGCAAAGGTAGGGACGTATTTATTTTATCTTCCACCATGGCCGAATTGTATATAAGGTTTTGTTTTCCGTTCCATTTTTCAGTCTTTTTAGATGATGGAAGTGTTAGTCGTTCGGTAACTCTGCACCATGTGTTCCAAAGATAAGATCATAAATTTCACCAATAAATGGTCACATTCAAATCTGCGCTATTCGATCATTTTTACCGGCCCTGTTCCTCTAAAGTAAAACCTTTATAAAATAATAATATTGAGACTGAGATTTTTTTTTTTTTTTTTTAGATGAGTTCTTAATTTATCGAAAATGAATAATTATTAATTTATAGAGTATTTTATACTCTTATAACTTGTATTATATTTTCCTATTCTACATGTAAGCACACAAAAATGCACATACATACATATATTAAAGAGGAAACGTTAATGTACATGACTTCAAAATTTAATATCTTGAAACATTAATCGTTCAAATTATTTCATGTACACATAAAATAAAATTTCTACAGTAATTAGTTTTTAACTTAAAGACCCCCAATCATTCCAAATTTCATACATTTTTTCTACTATGGCGTTTCAATTGAAATGAATTAAAAAATCTGCAATATTCAGTCCAATGAAAATATTAATGTTGGACCAAAAGTTAGTGAGGATGAAGGAATCAATGACATCGTGATGATCTCATACTAATAGAAATGTGACGAACGTCAAGTATCTTTTAAACTATTATAGTGAAAATGACGTCGTGATGATCTCATACTAATAAAAATATTATTCAAGGGGTACTCAATACACCTATCAATGATAATCACGATCTAGATGATAATTGTGTTTTACCACTATTTCTTCAAAAGAGGCATTTCAAGCAGTTTTCTCGTAACTTTAAATTATTAATTTGTACAAAATGAAAAATACATGCCAAACGTAGTATGTGCATTACAAAAAAATTAATAATGAAGTTGAATTTGATTTGGGTACAAAGAAAAAGCAAAAGACTTTAGATGTATATTTTGAAAAAAGACAAATTAAAGAAAATATTGTCCAATTACGTTTGTTAATTTGTATTAGTATAAATTTAAACATTTATTATTTTGTAAATTCGTTTAGCCTTAAAGGATCTAAAAATATATATTATCTTATACATTTAACAAGGTTATTAATTTAGTACACTGACTCAAATGGGAACCACGAAATTTTATTATTTAAGCGAGATTATTAATTTATTGAACATTCATTTATTGAGGGTTTATTATGCCAGACACTGATAATGGATTGATAAATCTTTGCAAAATTGACACTACATGCATGAAATGCTATTAGCAATTTTTACACGGAAATATGGTGATAAATATGATCATCCAGAGAAAATTCTCAACATCTAACCCTCCCATTGTTACAAAGTTCATCCTTCTATTAACTTCCTGTAATTGTAATATTCCTTGCTTGAACCTTGATTGTCTTCGAGGAGTTTTTGATAAGATAGATGATCATACTATTAAAACCGTCGTTAGTGCTTCAAGATGGCTTATTTGCCTGATTGTCTGTTGCATCTTCAATCACAGCTTCTGAAAATTGTCTGAACTTGAGAACCTTATGAAGACATGCAATTGGATTGACTTGCTTGCCAGGGGATTTTGGGTCTACAATGCATTTTCCTGCGAAAAGGTTGCCCTCAGATGACCCAGTCTACGGGAGCAGCATCTGCCAAAAAATGTTCGAGTGTATGAATTACAAGTTGGATTCATTCCGTAGTGTCAAGTGACTGTTAAAATTTTGAAGTGTCTGAAAGGAATTAAAACTCGGGTACGACAAAGTCAAGGCTCCACGGATTTCCAGAAGTTGAAGGTTAACATCTACGTAGCATGAATATGGAGTTCGATTGATTTCTTACATAAAGAAGATCCATCAATGAAGGGTAAAAGAACATTAGTAGCATGAATGTTATTTTCCTCATTAAATGGCAATGTATGATAAGTACACGAGGGAACTCTATAAACAAAGCTAAATATAATTGGTTTACAGAAGTTCTAAGTGTTTCCCATTCATAATTAGACTATTCTATAGGTTAGAAAACGCCAAATCCACAAATCAGCTCCTTCAAATATATACAATGCCAACTCAGAAGTAGTGGCTCACCAGTTTCATTGAAAACAAGGCAAGTCCCAATTGTTTCTTCATATTCTCCTATCTGAAATAAAGGGAAGATATAATAGGAAATATTACTCGAGGAAAGGGGGAAATATATCAACTTTCTAACACCAAGTGAAGTTTTTCGGGTCTTAAACATACCAGCTTAATTTTGTTATCGATAACCAGAATTGGGTTGAGTGTATCCAGACCCTGCATTGTATGTTGAATGATCAAATAACAGAAACTAAAATAATAAATACCAAACAAAATTTACTTAAAGCACTTCAAAATTGATGAGCATTTGCTTTGATTCTATAAACATTGAGTACAAACTTAAGAATGCTATACAAGCTTAAGAATGCTAAGCCATCTTCAATTTAATTTAATCTATAAAAATCAGAAATAAATTGTTTCAATGAAGAGTTCTGTAGATAACATTAAGACATCAAAAACAAATTACACAATCAAAAACTAAGATATTAAGAGTTTGACTGAATCCGATGCCAGTGCTTGAAGAGCCTTGGAATTGAAATTGCACAGAAAAAACTTATATTCATTCCACTAAAAGTCGCAACTCCTTTGCCGTCAAAGTTAATAAATCTCCTTTGCATATTCAGATGATAAGAACAAATTTACATACCCCATTTGTAAGGAATTATTGATCACACACAAGAGGAACCGCAGACCAAGAACACTAAACAATTTGGGAATAACCTACTTATTCAACAGCTGAACTTGGCTTAAATAGCCTTTACAAAGTGTCCTCACAGAAAATGAGAAATAGCAGCCCACTAATGCACAACTAAAGCATCGTGGTATAATTAACAAAGAAATTGTCAAACTAAGCAACTAACACCCTAATAGTTAGGGAATTAGTCTAACAAACTAACCCACTGCAACTAAAGTACTTACAACAAGCAATAACTTATCATTCCCTCCCTTAAACTAAGCACTTTCAAGTACTTAGTTTATCAGACACTTTACACACTCCCAGCAACTAACCTACTGCAACTAAAGTACTTAAAACAAGCAATAACTTATCATTCCCTCCCTTAAACTAAGCACTTTCAAGTGCTTAGTTTAACAACTTCCTGTAGTTGTAATATTCCTTGCTTGAACCTTGATTGACTTCGAGGAGTTTTTGATAAGATAGATGATCATACTGTTAAAACCGTCATTAGTGCTTCAGGATGACTTAATTGCATGATTGTCTGTTGCATCTTCAATCACGGCTTCTGAAAATTGTCTGAACTTGAGAACCTTATGAAGACGTGCAATTGGCTTGACTTGCCTGCCAGGGGATTTTGGGTCTACAATGCATTTTCCTGCGAAAAGGTTGCCCTCAGATGACCCAGTCTCTTCGTGAACCACGGGAGCAGCATCTGCCAAAAAATGTTAAAGTATATGAATTACAAGTTGGATTCATTCCGTAGTGTCAAGTGACTGTTAAAATTTTGAAGTGTCTAAAAGGAATTAAAACTCGGGTACGACAAAGTCAAGGCTCCATGGATTTCCAGAAGTTGAATGTTAACATCTACGTAGCATGAATATGGAGTTCGATTAATTTCTTACATAAAGAAAGATCCATCAATGAAGGGTAAAAGAACATTAGTAGCCTGAATGTTATTTTCCTCATTAAATGGCAATGTATGATAAGTACACGAGGGAACTCTATAAACAAAGCTAAAATTAATTGGTTTACAGAAGTTCTAAGTGTTTCCCATTCATAATTAGACTATTCTATAGGTTAGAAAACGCCAAATCCACAATCAGCTCCTTCAAATATATATACTGCCAACTCAGAAGTAGTGGCTCACCAGTTTCATTGAAAACAAGGCAAGTCCCAATTGTTTCTTCATATTCTCCTATCTGAAATAAAGGGAAGAGATAATAGGAAATATTACTCAAGGAAAGGGGGAAATATATCAACTTTCTAACACCAAGTGAAGTTTTTCGGGTCTTAAAACATACCAGCTTAATTTTGTTATCGATGACCAGAATTGGGTTAAGTGTATCCAGACCCTGCATTGTATGTTGAATGATCAAATAACAGAAACTAAAATAATAAATGCCAAACAAAATTTACTTAAAGCACTTCAAAATTGATGAGCATTTACTTTGATTCTATAAACATTGAGTACAAACTTAAGAATGCTATACAAGCTTAAGAATGCTAAGCCATCTTCAATTTAATTTAATCTAAAAAATCAGAAATAAATTGTTTCAATGAAGAGTTTTGTAGATAACATTAAGACATCAAAAACAATTTACACAATCAAAAACTAAGATATTAAGAGTTTGACTGAATCCGATTTCAGTGCTTGAAGAGCCTTGGAATTGAAATTGCACAGAAAAAACTTATATTCATTCCACTAAAAGTCGCAACTCCTTTGCCGTCAAAGTTAATAAATCTCCTTTGCATATTCAGATGATAAGAACAAATTTACACACCCCTTTTGTAAGGAATTATTGATCACACGCAAGAGGAACTGCAGATCAAGAACACTAAACAATTTGGGAATAACCTACTTATTCAACAGCTGAACTTGGCTTAAATAGCCTTTACAAAGTGTCCTAACCGAAAATGAAAAATAGCAGCCCACTAATGCACAACTAAAGCATCGTGGTATAATTAACAAAGAAATTGTCAAACTAAGCAACTAACACCCTAATAGTTAGGGATTTATTCTAACAAACTAACCCACTGCAACTAAAGTACTTAAAACAAGCAATAACTTATCATTCCCTCCCTTAAACTAAGCACTTTCAAGTATTTAGTTTATCAGACACTTTACACATTCCCAGCAACTCTCGCAATCTCAGAAAATCTTCCAACTTCAGAGGCTTAGTCATCACATCAGCTAGTTGATCCTTTGTGTCGCAAAAGACTAGCTCAATAACTCCATCTTTAACCAAATCTCGAAGAAAATGGAATCGCAAATCTATGTGATTGCTTCTGCCATGCATAACCGAATATTTGGAGAGTTTAATAGCTGAGCTGCTGTCACACATTATTGTAGTGCTACCTTCCTGCAGACGCCCCAACTTCTCAAGTATTCTCCTCATCCAAACAGCCTGACAAGCACAAGCTACAGCTGCCACAAATTCAGCCACAGTGGTTTATAATGTTGCTTCCTTGAAGACCAAGATACAACCCCTGAATTCATCAAAAATACATATCCAGAGGTGCTTCTCCTGTCCTCAACATCTCCGGCATAATCACTGTAGTGAATGTAAAAAGCTCTTCAGCTCTACCCTTCTTGTAGAATATCCCATAGTTCACTGTCCCTTTCAAGTACTTGAGAGCTCTTTTAGCAGCTTGCAAATGTAGCTCTGTAGGCTTAGATATGTAACGACTAATTAAACTCGGGGTGAACATCATATCAGGTCTAGTGGTGGTGAGATACATGAGGCTCCCCACTATTTGCTTAAAATATGTCTCGTCAACTTTGACTCCTCCTTCATCACTATGCAATAGAACCTGGTACAATGGGACTACACACATCATTGATATCCTCCATACCAAATCATTTCAAAACATCAAGTGCATACTTTCTTTGACAAATTTATATACCATCAACATTTTGCAAGACTTCTATACCTAGAAAGAACCTCATACACCCCAAATCAGATGTGTCAAATTCTCTCAACAAAGACTCTTTAAATTCACCCATCATGACTTTATCATCACTAGTATATATCAAGTCATCCACATAAACACTCACAATAAGGATCTTGCCTCCACGGCTGGTTTTAATGAACAAGGTTTGTTCACTATGATATTTCTGAAATCCTTCACTGAGAAAGTGTGCTTCAATCCTACTAAACCAACCAAGCTCGAGGAGCTTGTTTTAGTCCGTACAAGGCTTTCTGCAATTTATACACTTTGTGCTCATGCCCTTTCTGCACATACCCCATCGGCTGCTCTACATAGACATCTTCACTTAATTCTCCATGAAGGAAGGCGGACTTTACATCGAGTTGAAAAATCTTCCATCCTCTTTGAGCTGCCAAAGCAATGATCATGCGAACTGTATCCATCCTTGCCACTGGAGCATAGACTTCAGTGTAGTCCACTCCTTGTTGCTGTGAATAACCATTAGCCACCAACCTCTCATTGTATTTGTCCACTTGTCCAAGTTCATTGAATTTTGCCTTATAAATCCACTTTACCCAATTGTCTTAGCACCTGTAGGCAACTCAGTTAGTTTCCATGTCTCATTCTTCTCAATTGCCTTCATCTCAGCATCCATTGCCAGCCTCCATTTAGAACTCTTCTCAGCCTCTTCAAAACTTGATGGATCTGCAGACATGATTTGAGCCATGTTAACCTCAATCTCCTCCTCTGAAAGCCTCTCACCAGTGACATAATCATTTAAATAGGCTAGAGCTCGTCGGATTCTTCCTCCTTCATTTAAATTAGCTTCTGTTGATGTACTCGGAGAGATTGAATTCGGCTCAACATTCACCGTTCCCACATCTTCATTGCTACCTCCTTCACTATTATCAACGTCATCTTCAAACAAATCAGCACAGCTCTCATCATCTCCCTACTCCAGGTTCACCAAGATTCGCTCCTCAAAACTCTTATCCAAATCCCATTGGTTTTCCTCTTCAAAAATGACATCTTGACTTACTATAACCTTCTTTGATATAGGATCATATAGTCGATATGCCTTTGATTCTTCACTGACGCCTAAAAGAACACACACAAAATTCTTACTGGCCAACTTTGTCCTTCTTGCATCCGGGATATGAACATGTGAGATGCATCCAAAGACCCTGAAATGCTTCACTGTAGGTTTTACCCCGCTCCATGCTTCCTGTGGTGTGACATCTTTTACTGATAATGTGGGACTCCTGTTTAGTACATAAATTGTCGAGTTAACAGCCTTGGGCCAAAAGTTCTTCGGCATCTTCTTCTCAGACAACATGCTCCTCACCATATTCATCACTGTCCGATTTTTTGCGTTCTGCCACTCCGTTTTGCTGTGGAGTGTATGCTGCTGTTAATTGCCTCTTAACACCATGTTGCTTGCAAAACTCATTAAAATCTTCAGAATTAAATTCACCACCTCTATCAGTCCGTAGGCATTTAATAGATAAACCAATTTCATTCTCAACAAGCTTCTTAAAACACTTAAACATGTTGAATGCTTCAGACTTCTCACTCAAGAAATAGATCCATGCCTTCCTGCTGAAATCATCTATGTACGGCAGTGAGTACCTTTTCTTGCTGTTTGACATTGGGGAGATTGGACCACAAATGTCTGCGCGTATCAGCTGCAACTTCTGTGTGGCTCTCCATGTGCTCTTCTTGGGAATAAGATTTCTATGATGTTTCCCCACCATGCATTTAGTGCAAGTCACAATTGATGTAGGGAGTTGTGGAAGACCAGACCATCTTCCTAAATTGTAGTGTTCTTAAGCCTTTATAGCTCAAGTGTCCAAATCTGCAGTGCCAAAGGTGAGCTAGATCTGAGGTAGTTAGGTGAAAGCAGGTATCCTTCTCCTTTTCGAACTGGAATTTGGCCAACAATACAAACATTTCGTTGGCTGTCATCTCGAACTGAATAATAAGCCCTCTCTCTGGATGATATATGCGACACTTTCCTGATTGAATCAGAATTGCAAGACCACGCTCTTGGAGCTGTCCAATGCTTAGGAGATTATTCTTCAGCTCTGGGACGTAGAAGAAATCAGTGATCACATGGTTACTGCCATTGATATGCAGTCTCACCCTTCCTTTCCCAAGCACGCTCATTTTGGTATTATTTCCCAATTTCACCATTTGTCGAAAAGTCTCATTCAACTCACAGAATGCAGCAATGTTCCCACTCATTTGATTTGAGCAGCCTGAATCAAGGAACCAAATATCTTCTCGTTCTGTCTGGTTCATCTCGACATATGACATCAAGAGCATCTCTTCGTGTTCAATTTTTTCAGCATAGTTGGCCTCCTCCAAAATCGGACTCTCATACTGAAAATGGCCAAGCTTATGGCACTTGTAGCATTCAACAGTAGCCTTATTGAAAGCGTGTTGACCTCTGCCTCTATAGCCACCTCTACCTCGACCTCTACCTCCATTTCTTTAATCCACAGTCACCCTCAATGCCTGCTCCTCTCCATTGCTCCTGTGAAACTTTTGTTCATGCACAATGAGTGAACTTTGCAGTTCATCAATTGTGAGTGCATCGATGTCCTTAGATTCTTTGATCGAGACAACAACATAATTGAATTTCTCTGTTAAAGTCCTAAGAATCTTTTCCACAATGGTGACATTCCTCATCTGCTCTCCATTACTCCGCATTTTATTTGCTACACTCGTGACACAAGTAAATATTCAGTAATGGTTTCACTTACTTTCATCTCCAGAACTTCGAAATATCTCCTCGGTGCTTGAAGAGCCAAACGCTTAACCCTAGCATTCCCCTCGAATTTCTTCCTCATCGAATCTCATATCTGCTTCGAGGTGCGTTTCTCCAGGATTTGCTCAAGAATTGTCGTGTCAATTGCTTAGAACAGGTAATTCTTCACTTTGAGATCCTGGACCACCAAATCCTCCAATTGCTTTTGCTGTGCCTCGGATACCACTGTTCCTGCCTCTGGTTCGTTATAACCAGTTTCAACTAAACTCCAGTAACCCTTGAATCTTAAGAGGTTTTCCATAAGCATGTTCCAATGGTCATAATGACCATCGAAGCGTGGTATTGCAGGTTGCACGGAATTCTTCTCTTCAGTCATCCTCTCTTTTCTCTCTTCTGTGTTTGGAAATCACTCGAAAGACTACCGCTTTCTTTCTTCTCACGCCCCAGTTGGGCTGGCTCTGATACCAAATTATAAGGAATTATTGATCACACACAAGAGGAACTACAGATCAAGAACACTAAACAATTTGGGAATAACCTACTTATTCAACAGCTGAACTCGGCTTAAATAGCCTTTACAAAGTGTCCTAAAAGAAAATGAGAAACAGCAGCCCACTAATGCACAACTAAAGCACCGTGGTATAATTAACAAAGAAATTGTCAAACTAAGCAACTAACACCCTAATAGTTAGGGATTTATTCTAACAAACTAACAAAGCAACTAACACCCTAATAGTTAAGGATTTATTCTAACAAACTAACCTACTGCAATTAAATTACTTAAAACAAGCAATAACTTATCACCTTTGATTTCTAAAAGGTTAAATCATAGCTTAAAACCCTTCGATTTCCTCTTCCATTTGCTGAATCAATTCAATATTTCATGTCACCATTCTATCAGCGTCTAATTTCTGAACACAAGTAAATAGATTAACTACATTACACAGTTCTTGGAGAAACACAAGTACATAGAATTCAAGAAACAGCTTCGTGCAATCAAAGAAAAGAAATTCCATATAAATATAAACCTATTAGATATCGAAAAATCGTACAGAGAGAACGTATGGCGCGTTGGGAGGAATGTGGATGTCAGCAACGCCATCCAGATCAATTAAAACACACTCTTCTTCTTCTAATTCTTTATCGCCTTCCATTGATCCACAATTAAGGAGGAGAAATAAATCGTTTTTGTTTCGTGTCCCCTTTTGAGGATACCGAGTTTGAGGGTTTTGTAGTGGATCGACTATGGGCTCAATGGACAATGGGCTAGTTTTGGGCCACTGTTGACCAGCTCAACCTATAGATAAAGTGGAAATTACAACCAATCAGATTTTTCAGATAAAAAATCCCTAAATCCCTAAGTACTAAATCAGATAACATAATTAATGGCAACATAATCAGAAATCCCTAAATTTCTAGATAAAAAATCCCTAAATCCCTAAATACTAAATCAGATAACATTATTAATGGCAACATAATAACATTGGAAAGTGAAGTCAGAAATTTGAGTAATAGACAAACAGTGTCACACACCTTTAAGAGGCTTAATACATGTGTTATGTGTTTGAGGAAATTTTCAACATTTTTTTATGGGTTTTTGTTCGCAGGTTGTTTTGTGGGTGTGATGATATATATTGCCTTTTCATGGGGAGTTTGAACAATTTATGTGCTCTGATTAAGAAGTATGGATTAGCAAGAACTGCAAATGAGGCAATGCTTGTGATTGAAGCTTATAGAACACTTAGGGACCGTTGTCCTTACCCCGCTAATCAGGTTATTAAGGATCTTGACGGGAGCTTTGCCTTTGTTGTCTATGATAGCAAAGTTGGAACCGTTTTTACAGCACTGGTAGTTGGCCCGTCTTTTAAATTTTATTAGACTGTCATACATATAAGATTTTAGCTTCTTTTTGTACGATTTCAATTATGATTTCAGGGTTCTAATGGTGGAGTTAAGTTGTACTGGGGCATAGCTGCAGATGGTTCTGTGGTGATTTCTAATGATATAGAGGTAATTAAAGCAAGCTGTGCTAAATCATTTGCACCATTCCCAACAGGTAATGGTAGAGAATTTCGACATAAGAATTGCATAATAAATGAATAATATGATTGATCTTGTGGATACAGGGTGCATATTTCACAGTGAGGGAGGATTAATGAGTTTTGAGCACCCAATGAATAAGCTAAGGGCAATGCCAAGGGTGGACAGTGAAGGGGTAATGTGCGGGGCTATTTCAAAATTGATCATTACGCTAGGGTTGATAGCATTCCTCGAGTTGGAAGTGAAGCCAATTGGACAGAATGGAATTTTCATGAACCCTACTCCATCAGTTTCATGTTTTCCACTTTGTTTTGTTATTTTGGAGTATTTGATCTTTCCTTGTTTTCTGGCCAAGAAATGAGCACAGATGTACAAAAAATAATCTTAAAACTTGATTTTGGTTTAATTAAATCTTGATTTATGTTCATGAATGTTACCTGCAATTTATGTTCCAATCATAGCAAGCTAAACCAAAAAAGGATTGAGTGATTTTATTATTGATTCTAACTTTAATGTTACAAGTTGAATTTTCGTTTTATTTTTCCTTACAACTACAAGCATTCAATCCAAAATCTTCATCTTTGGCACCAGGGGCGGAGCCAAGATTTCTGGTCGGGGGGGCACAACTTATCCTTAGACCAGGATCAGTTGGAAGTTTAGTGACGTCAAATTCCACATTATTCGACATCGCCCCAACAACATTTATGTTGTCCAAATCAGTTTTTTTTTTTTAAGTATTTCTTCATAAGATTTCAACAATTTTAATTCAACAATACCCAAATTTCAGCAATTTCAATTCAACTATACCCAAACTTCACCAATTTCAACTCAACAATACCCAAATTTCAGCCATATCTACTCTACTCAGCAGTCAGCATTCAGCAATACTCAAATTTCAACAATACCCAATTTCAATTCCATAACAGACAACAGTGAATCTCTACTGCACACAGCACACAACAATACCCAAAATGTAGTATTAAAAAAAAAAAACAAAAACGTCTCAACTGAACATAGAAAAAGGAGCAGTTCCATCTATGAAAATTAGGACCACCAACCACAGTGCAATTTTACCAAAGAACAAATCCAATACTATTACCAATAATCCAATTGCTAAAGAAATTAAGAAAATACCTGATCCGGGGAGGAGAGAAGTCACTGCAGTCTGCAGAGGCGGAGGCTGAAGAAAAATCCAAATCGCATAAATTAAAGATTTCATTTTTCTCAACCAACACAAAAAAACTCAAGGGAGAAACAAGAAAAGAAAAGAAAGGAAAAGAAAAGTATTTTCTACCTTCTGCAGTTCTGCGTGCGATTGCGAAGGCTGCGAAGTTCTGGGGTGAAAGTTCTGAACAGCGGTTGTTGAGTGGAGGCTGCGAAGATGCTGGAGTTGAGGTGCGAACTACGAACGAGGCTTCAGGCTGCTGGCTGCGAACAGTGGTCAGTGGAGCTGTGGAGGCGGAGCAGTCGAGCAGAGCTGCAGAGGAGAGGATGGAGTTGTGATTTGTGAATTGTGAACGAGGTTTAAATTTTTGGAATTGGGCTCAAAGTTTTGGACTTTTTCTCTTGGGCTGGGACAGTGGGACTTAGCCTATAACTAAAAAAAATGAGCCCAAAAAATTTTTTTGAGCCCAGAAGTTCAGGGTGGGCCTGTGCCCACCCTGGGCCTAACGTGGCTCCNCCAGGTTGAATCTTTTCAGGAAGTTCACTAACTACTACAATTGTCAAAAGACAAATGTCAAACTTAGGTCCATATCTACCTCTCTTCTCCATTGTCGTGTGGAGAGATGGCATTGGAATGCAAGAGGTGATCCTCTTAACAGAAATGAATACAAAGATCATCAGTTTGAACGTGTCCAACAACTATGGTTCAACTGGATTAACAAAATTTGTACACAGATCAAGCTAATTTCAAGTTCTATCTTTCAATATGATAATTCAAGGTAATGGAAGCATAGATCTTCAATATCACTTAACCAGAAAAAAATTTCAGCTGCTGCTTACAACAATGCTACTTCCCCATTTTTTCGATAAATGTCTTGGTGTCATATGCATCAACACTACTTTATAAAGAACTCGGGAAACGACAAGCAAAAATGAAAGATTTAAATAGCTTATTTTAAATCTTATCTTAAACTGCAAAAGACCTGATTGAATAACAAAACTGGAAAGAACAAAGGCAAACATCCTGTTTTTATCTCGATTTGTGGTTGTGGCCTTTTCTCTTGAGATGCGAATATGTCAAAACATGAAAAATAAATAATAACAAAACTGGAAAGAACAAGGGCAGACATCCTGTTTTTATCTCGATTTGTGGTTGTGGCCTTTTCTCTTGAGATGCAAATATGTCAAAACATGAAAAATAAATAAATAAATAAAAGCTATTGGATTAGGTCCAAAACCCACACGAGAGGTTGGAAAAGTGGTTAATGAGATTTCAACAATACCCAAATTTCAACAATTTCAATTCAATAATACCCAAATTTCAGCAATTTCAACTCAACAATACCCAAATTTCAGCAATTTCAACCCATATTTCAACAATTTCAATTCAACAATACCCAAATTTCAATTCAAAATTATCACCAGAACACAGTATTAAAAAAAGTCTCAAGCAGAATAGCAGCTGCTAAAGAAAATACGAAAACACTCATAGGGCATACCCAGCTCAAACATCAAATACCTGACAGATGTTGCACGCACTTGGGCATCTAATTGGTGGAGTTAGTGAGAAGAACCCTCTGGTGCTTGCGAGCTTGTTGGCGGCGTTCACTTTCTGATCAAAATCCCGGCACAACGCCGCCTCGTAGTGGAGGAGAGCATAGGTGGAGGCGGATGAGAGCAGAGGTGGAGGCGGAGGCTGCGAAGTGCGTGAAATGGAGGCTGGAGGAGAACAGACGCGAAGGCTACAAACTGATGTTTTAAATTTTTTGGATTGGGCTGGGACATTGGGTAGTGGATTGGGCCTAACTCTTGGGTTGGAAGTTATCATATAAAACTAAAAAAAATTATGAGCCCAGAAGTTCAGACCTCATTGGGCTCCGCCCGTGTGTGCAACATCGATACTTGGAGCTACAAATTTTATGATATAGCCATTTGGAATGATTTTTTCTGTTACTCAACTGCCAATAAAGAGACCTGGTTGAGGAATTGAACATGTCAAGTACATAGGAACTATACCTTTTTATTCTAATTTTGATATTGGTGGCTATTTTGTCTCTGGATTGTTATTTGACTATACCTTCTCATTTACAATTGAGGTTTTTCAATAATTATTATTCATAATAAAGTCTTTCTACTAGTTGAGGAGGGCAATAACATCCTCTGCCATTATTGGATGTGGTTAATATGTTTTTTTTTCTCTAGTATTTTTCAGTTTTTATTTTGCTGTCTTAAAAGTGGCAATTGTTGTCTGAGGCTTGTCAAATGTTCCTTAATATCTGTTTGTATATGCTTCTTCTCCCAGGCATAAACAATATTTTACACCAAAAATGGCCTTTTCTTTTCTTTATAGGAATATGTGCTAGTAAGAGGAAAACTTTTGTTTTGGTAGACGAACCTAGCCAAATACCTAAACCCACCTTGGGTTTTGGTAGCCTTGGATTTCGAGACAGGGGAGTATCTGATAAAATAGTAAAACCTCGAGTCCTTGATAGCTTGAGACCCTACCACATTTCCCAAATTAGCACAGGATTGTACCATACTGTGGTGGTAACAAACCAGGGACGAGTTTTTGGGTTCGGAGATAATGAAAGAGCATGGCTTGGGCATGACATGCTAAGAGGATGCCCTGAACCAACTGAAATCCTTATTGGAGAAATGGTAAATCACACGGTATCATAAAGCAGGTAAAAATGGTAATTCTTGATCTGTTTGTGCTGGATGCTTTTAGTTCCGTTAAAGAATTTCTCGAAATATTGTTTTTAGACAGCAGAACTTTTTGGTAAAACTAAATACATAGAATTTGGAGAAAAGCGAAGTTCTCGTACTAACGTTTTATTTTAATTTTAATTTATTTATTCGGCCAAAGAGTCTCATGTTGGACAAATATCTAGCCCACAGAAAAATATGTAGCAGAGGAAAAGATTGATTTTTCAGCTTGTGCCCCCAGAAAAATGGGAAGCACATTGGATTGTTACTGATGATTAATATCAATGTCAATTTGTCTGGTTTTTCCAGGCTGGATAACATACATCCTGCCAAACCCTATCCGTGGACTTTCCAACGCTTTCATAAAAGAAAGAGTGCATTAGAATTGTAATTTCTTTTTGGGAAAAATTCATGGATCAAGTATTATCTATCATGAAATCAAAAATTAGGCCCCAAATTTTAAAATTACAAAAACCAAGTTTTCCATTAATGAATTAATTATATTTCATAATTATTATATTAAATTAAATATTAAACTGTAATATAATATAATTAATCCACTTCACGCCAACCCACCCCCACCTCCACCTCCACCTCCACCTCCCCTATTGCTCCGGCGACTATTATTCGGTCACAGATCAAAAATTTTGTAGGTTATAGATTATTTCGAGATCACAAATCTAAAATTTTTTTGGTCACAAATTTTTTTATTGANAAAAAAATTATATGTCACATGTCACGTATTTTCAAATTTGTTGGTTACAGACACCAACAAATTATCAATTTTAAAGTCACAAATTAATAGCTAGGTCACAGACACCACAAAGAACAACCACCGTCGTTGACCCCGCCACAACAATAACAAAAAACGACCACCACCACACGGATCGCCATCACCACCACATGACCACCAACAAAGATCCACCACCACCGCCCAAAACATACCACCACAGATCCACCACCTCCACAACCATACATCCCTAAATCTGTGACATTACACATCCCCAGATCTGCGGCAACACAACTTCATTCCCAAGCATAAACACTAACAACAACCACCACCGTTGTCTCCTGCATAGCACCACCAACATCGTCGCCCCCGTCACACCACCACCACAACCACCGCCATAATAATAATAAAAAAACAACCATCTCATCGCCGCTTGCACCGCCACACCAAAAAAACCATCACAGCCGTCGACCCCACCACAACTATCGCCACAACAATATTAACAATACACCAAAAGGAAAAGAATCATCTATTCCAACAATAGAAGCAACATGAACCATAGTAAGAGAGAAATCATGAGGTCTCAAAAAATAGAATGCAAAGCATTCTCAACTTAATTTACCTTTTCACCTGCTATTTTTTCCGAAAGCTCAGAAAAATACTGTGTTGAAAGAATCCAAACTCCCTGGTGTTGAATCAGATGAAACTGAGGAAAGTGCTTCATCTTCTTTTGAAAGAATGTATTATTGAATAGTAGATTAATGGAGAATGTGTGGTTAAAAATGAAGGAAAAGTTATTGATGTGATGGAAAATATTATTTTATTGAAAAATGTGTGGTTGAAAATGAGTAGAATAATGAGAATGAAAAAAATAATGGGTACCAAACAGGG